GTTTTGGTTTTGCTGCTCGCAAGTAGGCTAAAATACGGATTTCAACGGGTTTTTCCAACTCAGACAATCCAACCTTCACCCACAGGCAATCAATCAGTTTATCACATAAGCATCTAGCCACATGGTAATCATACTGTCATGATAGCATTCACACTCGTGCGAGATGCTAAAGCATAAATACTTACATCGTACTCCGTGCCAAAACAATAAACTAGTTAGCAAACATGCATGGTCCTAGTTCATGTCAATTTGACTAATGCAACACATACAAGATGCAATTAGAGGAGGCTCGGCTAACCTAAACATGGCATGCGAAATGCGATCAATTGATGCACGTATTCAATTTGGAATTGAAGTACAAATGCAGTTAGTGTGATGTACCGAGCCTGATGCATGCGATACAAATGCATGAATGCACGCATGCATAGCATAAGGTGTGCTAATTTTAAGTATGCCCTAATCTACCATCATAAACAGGTAAATAAAAGGAAAGAAAGACGTGGGGTTGGAAAACAAACACACACTCACGCACACTTATTACACAATTGCCCTCACTCGGAGGGTCCGAATAAGTATTACAGTCCGAATAATAAACAAATAAATTATTACAGAATTTTTTAATTAACAGAAAGAATAAAAAGAAGGAAAAAGGTGGCCACAGCCTCTGCCTCGGGATGCGCGAATGATGCATGCTCGAACCCACCTTGCCCGGAAAGTCCGTACCATACCAAGGCTGCCTCTGTTTACACTGCCCTACTTCTCTGAAAAATGCCAAAGTTCTGGGACAGGTTTGTTGCATACTGCAGAGTACCACCGGTTGGGGGAAATGCCCACAGGCAGTGCATAACTTCCATCGGCTGCTTCTGGAGTTATCGGCCATTCACATATGGCCGGTCGGCATTGAATACTGCCGGTCGGCAGAAACTTCCTGCAGGAGACAGTTTTGACAGCAACAGAGAACAGACAGTATATGGCATGGGATTTCAGGCACATGTGAGCATGGTCATGTTTCCCATCATGTGTTGAACTCAGGGAAGCATGGCCCTCGATCCTTGAGCCATCAATGGTGCAGGATAGCCCAAGGGATCAAGCTTGCCACTTGATGTAAAAATGGATGCAACACACAAATGAGGACCGAGACCTTATCATGTCGAAGTCAAAGGCCTCGGTGACCGAGGGTTAAGACACGTTGCATCACTTATAGTATGAACGCTCCTTAACCCTCACACTTGGTTTGACACCCCAAACCAAGCAATGCAACGTATGTTATGCCAACATGGCTCAAATGCAACATGATACTAATTATACAAGGCATGCAAGATGGAAATGTAAA